ATTTCCCCCACGTTAAAAAAAAAAAAAAAAAAAGGGTTCCAGTCCCAAAGACCGCGTAAGAACGGACTGTCTCTATACGCACACAATTTTCCTGCGTATTACAAGTAGACGAATACCGTACTCCTCACGACCAGATCAATTGATTTATAACACCCGGAGGATCTGCTTATTTTCAAACGAAGATGAAGACATAGAGATTAAGTCTTACGAAAAGTACGCATTATCCCATCACGCCCGAAAATATATATTTACAATTTTTCTCTAGGAAAATAACTCGAATGTCGGACTGAGCGACGTAACTCTTTGCGAGCATAAATTGTTCCCGTAGACCAGTGATGGGCAACTCAGCGCCCGCCAAACTCACTAGCGGGCAACACCGTGCAGCATGCGGGCATATGGCAGTGGTGGGTGAAATGTATGAATGAGAGCACGTATCTATCATTTTCTTCACACACAAATATGTCGTGAATCACGACTCGTGACTCGTGATGGGTCCTGCTTCGCAATCCCACCACAGGAGTCCGACATCTGTCGTATGAAACTATTCTATATGAAGCTTTGAACACCGTACGGAAGATTTACAAGTTACAGAAGAGGGAATTATTTTTATTGTTATAAGTCTGAATAATATTTAAGCCATGTTTTACTCAATTTATGCACATATTGTTACAAATATATTGTAAACTCGTATGTATATAAGTAGTACTTAAGGCAATTGTTGTGAAATTTATTCAAATACTATTGTAAATTGTATATTTTCATCAGATTTTTTCAATAAAAAACAGTTAAGTGGTACATATGTATTGTTTATTAAGCCTATCACTACGACTATCCCATATTTTCCATAAATAAATAACTAGTAATTGTAAAGTTTCCGCCATCTTGGATTCAGAGAAGAGCCGGAAAAATTTAGGAATTTATGGGACATTTAGTGGCGCCCCTACCACTTTGGTGGCGAAAATTCAAACTATTTCCAGAACTTCTTGGATAGTTCGCAAAAACGCCACCAGATGGCACTGCTTAAAAAGTTTTAAAATTAGTTAGACATTCCGCCACCAACCGGTTGAGATCGCCACCAATATTCAGCCAATGTTCTGTGGCTTCTTTCGAGCGCGCCATTTGATTGTGGATGATAGTCTGTCGTTTAAATTTTATCTATTTTAAGTAACTTACATGTATACTTAAATATCTGACTGACGAAATTAGTTCCTTGGTCGGTGAGTAGTTTTTGGCGTATTCCATACTCGCATACTACACTGGGCGTCAAAATTAAGGGACCACTAAAATTTGCCGAAAATATGGGTCATTTTCAAATGACTATATCTCCGCGAAAAATAGTTATAAAAAATATTGTGTATGACCATTTTGTAGCCTGAAGTTTCTAGTTTTTGAATCGGGAATTAAAAATTATTTTCATGAAATTTGTTCCTTTGTTTTTAAAGATGAAGCGCAGCAAGCGAATGTTAAAAAATGTTGGTCAACTTTGAGAGGATGCGTAGGCCAAATAAAATTTTTTGTGGTAATCTCAATGGAACACTTTTACAGAGCAAACTTTTTTTTCTTTTTTTAATTTTGGTGTACAGTTTTTATTGGCTGAGTTATTCGTCATCACATGAGAAAAGGCACTTTCCACTTTGAACGCCTGTAACTTGCAAACGCATGATTGTATAGAAAATTTCAAAAGAATTTTGGAAAGCTGAGAGATTTCTCTTTAAAGGCCTTCAGTTGCCAATTTGTTGAAATTTTTCTTCGTCGTATACAGTCCACTTCAAAATAACGTAAAATAATGCATAATTACCATTTTTCACAAAACACGATGCCATTTCAACAAAAATCGTGGAATCTTCCATGTGTCCACGTTTTTGTCCAGTTAAAAGGACAAGTAACCCCTGTGCCAAAGGTCGAACTGATCAGATTTTTTTTACCCTATGCCCTCGATAGTGAAACTTGCGGTATGGTCTGAAAAGTTGGTGAATGACTCTTTTGCGGTACGTTTCCTGTTTAAAGCGATTTCGCAGCGTTTGAACTGTTATGATCTGTTTTTTTTTTTAGTTTCACTTTATTTTAGAAGAAAGGAGAGATTTCAGAAATTTAACAAACACATTTCTAGCCAATCTCTTCGCAATGACAAAAAGTGCACAATGCGAAGTGCATTGGTGCAAAAGAGTCATTACAGTAGACTCTAACTATATTGCCACTAAACACATTGCCACACGAGGCACTTCCCCTTCACACGTACTTTCGCGCACACAAATTCGCTCTCCCACCATGTTGTGTACGCCGGCGCACCAGCACGGTCCAGCTCTTGCGCAAGCGCTGAGGCCGAGGCCATGGCGACAGAACATAGCATGGAGGGGGCTCTGAACTGATTGCCATTTCACTCCCCAACAGCCCTGAATATGGCAATATAGTTAGAGTCTACTGTATGTATTATTGCAAAGATGGTTTTTGACAACTTTTCTGTAAAAGAAGAATTTCTGAAAATTCTACCTTTAAGAGGAAGTACAAGAGGCAACGATATTTATTCAATTTTTAAAAAGTATATGGAGGAAAATAACATACCTTTAGAAAAATTGTCCGCAATTATAACAGACAGCGCGCCTGCAATGAAAGGAAGAAATAATGGTTTTCTTGCGTTATGTAAGAAAGACCCGATATTTCAAAGATTTGCATCTTATTATTGCATTATTCACCAAGAGGTGTTATGCTGAAAAGTCCTTTTCAGCATATTATACAAACAGTAAGAAGAGTGATAAATTCAATAAGAGCAACGGCAATGCAACACAGATTGTTTAAATTACTTCTACCAGAAGATGGAGCAGAATTTGAAGATTTTATCACACACACAGAAGTGAGGTGGCTTAGTAGAGGAAAGGTAATTGAGCGGTTTTTAAATTTATTACCACACGTGAAAGAATTTCTATTATCCAGGAATAAAATTTATTTAGAATTAGAGAAAAAAACCTTGGTTAATTAAGCTTGGCTTTCTAACCGATTTGACGGTAAAATTGAAGGAATTAACTTTGAAACTATAGGGTAGAAATCATCATATTGTTTCTAAGATAACTACGGTAAATGCAATTTAAAGCTAAATTGGCGCTCTGGAAATCGCATATGGACAAAGATAATTTATCACATTTCCCATTTTTAAAAATTATTGTGATGGAAATGCTATCACCCATCAGTTTGCCAAACATTTTAATTCCTTATTGAAAGAATTTAATACCAAATTTGAAGAATTCTACGATTCGGAAGCATTCTTAACGTTTTTGATTAATCCTTTCTCTCATACGGAAGACGATGTAACTAATAAAATCGCAACATATTTCGATATTTCCAATAAGGAGGACTTAGAATTGGAAATTGGAAATATAACAAATGACATTAAATTAAAATCACATCATAACGAAGGAAAATTCTGGAATTTAATGAATGAAAATAGCTTCCCATGGTTGAAAAAATGTGCTCTAAAATTGAACTCCCTTTGCGCGTCGACATATGATTGTGAATGTTTGTTTTCTAATATGAAATACTTAAAATGAAAGTACCGATCAAGCCTCACTGATGCTGATTTAAACCAATGCCTGAGAACTCGGAATTCAACTTCTGTGCCACATTACAACGAGTTGGTCGCAAATTTGCAATGTCAAGTATCGCATTAATTATCAATTTTAAGATTATGTTTTTTCAATTAAAATTTGAATTTATGTATTAAAAATTTATCTAACAAATTTGTGTTGCATTAATATTTTCATGTTTAGATATTATCCCTCCCTCCTCTTCATCCCACGGTGCCCGCCCAACTATCGCATTTCTAAAATAGGCTCTCCTATGTAGTAAAAAAGATTGCCGAGCCCTGGTTTATGGCCTCGAACTCAAGACAGTGTGACTTTGTGCTAGTAGCTCATCGATGTGAATCAAAAATGATTTCCGCAAAAGAAAAATTAGTTTCCAATTTTCCATGTTATAAAGTAATTTTTCAATCAAGGACTTACATACGTTCTCGACGCGCAAAAATTGATCATCTTTGGGAATTATCTGGAGAGGAGTAAAATAAATAAAAAATGTGATAATTGTACCTTATTTTTGGGACCTTTATTTGTAAGGAAAAAAGTATGTTGACACACTTTTGTCATATTTTGCCTCTATTCTCTGCCGATGCAGCAACCTCTGCACCAAAAAAAGAGCTTTCTTGTCGACATGATATTTCCATGAAAAAGCATACAACAATAAAAATTCAACAACAATCTTATAAAATGGTGTAGGAATGGGTCATCGGGTAAAAATTTGGAATTTATGGAAAATAAAAAAGTTATACCATTTTGAAAAAAGAAGTGAATTTTTCGTCTGAGATTTCGATCTTTCAATGGTAAAAAAAAATATTAATAATCAAAACTTTTTTTAAATAGCCTGAAGGCCCTTAGAGAATAGGCCCCTAGCCCCCAAAGTTTCTTAAAAATGTTGAAAATTGCCGAAGCTATCATGCTGATAAGTTTGAGAAATGTGATTTCAAGAAAAACGCGTTTGAAGTTAAAAAAAAACGAAAAATACTGAAAGGAAACATTTTTTTCCAATTTACACTTAATCTGCCATTCCAGCAGCATACTATGGACTTTAGTGATTTTTCGACCGTGCACGCTCTCACATTATGACAAATATCTTCTTTAAATATTGAGATATTGCTTCAATTCTTTTTATCCAGTATTTTACACACTATAAACATTTGATTTAAGTAAGCAAAAAATTCTATGTTTTGAAAGTTGGAAGCGTATGTAACCCCTTAAAAAAATATTATTCAAATAGGTCAACCCTTCTAAAGTAAAGGAAAGGACAAATTAACTCAATACGATGAAAAGTTTCCGAGATAAAAATTCATAAGTACCTGCACCCGTACCCTGTCTAGCAAATGCCGTCTCGTTGGAGATGCGGTTTAACGCATGGATTGCAATCGAATCGTGTAATAGGAATGGGAAGCAGCAAGCAGCAAGCTACACGTTGATTGGTCCCTCGAGTCGGGAAGAGGAGGCAATGTCCCGTTATGCCTGTTACTTACCCCTATTGCTAGTTAGAAGATCGTGCGTACAGGTCAGTCAACGAGAAGACACAGCGAACGATGAATCGTTGGGAAGGCAAAGTAGCGATCGTTTCCGGCACGAGCGTCGGGATCGGTGCCGCGATCGCGAAATCTCTTGTTGGTCACGGTGTAAAAGTGGTTGGTCTCGCGAGAAGACGCGAAAAACTCGAGGAGTTGGTCGACGCACTCGGCGATGATAAATTCTATCCGATCGTGTGCGATCTCAGAAAGGAAGAGGACATCAAGGAAGCATTCAAATGGACGGAAGAGGAGCTTGGCGGGGCGGATATTTTAATAAACAACGCTGGTGTCGCCGATCAATCGTTAATCATTGGTAAAACTTTCCACACTATACACGTTCGTAAAAATTCTATCGCTGTTCCGTATTAACTACCAAATTAAATTAGTGTCCCTCCTCTCATTTGCACCGACACAAAATTCTCACCTTCAAAACGAACTCGTCATAAAATATTTATTTCATTATTACATATTATTATACATTTATTTTAATATCAAATATTAGTATAAAATAAATAATTATTTTGATAGTAGATATTATTAAATATTTATTTTAAAGTTAATATTTTTTTCAGGATTGAAGATTTTTATGCAAATTCGCGCTTCTACAGATTGTTTTAAGAAAAAAGACATTAGGCAGAGATTTGTGTTTGTTGTTATGAGTTTCATTGGACTAAAAATCAATGAGAAAGTTCATTAAACGTAGAGGAAAATATTTAAATGCCATCTGTACTTGTTTAACGACTTTACTTTCCTAATGTTTATATTCGCGAGATTGTAAATGTTTAATATTCAATCTCCTAAACGGGCGATTATTTGATACATTAATATATAAAGTATGAATATAATTGATCTAATGATGCTTATTATTAACAATGCATTTAAATATGAGAAACCTTAAAGAAATAAACAACGAACCGTAAAGTTATGTAAAAATATTTTTCCTGATTAACAAGTTGAATCTCGTGAAGGTCACCAGGGACCTACACTCGACTTCCGAATAGAAAATAAAATAAACTATATAATTAATATGAATTATATGAACGGTAATACTTGTTAAATTTTCAATACTATTAATAATGTAACATAGCTCTCAGCAAACGAAATGTACAAAAAATTATCGTAGCTGGATTCACTAATTTTATGTAATATTTTTTATTTATTTATTTCGTATTGTGAAAATTTCACTTCGTAATTATACAAAAATCGGAATTCATTCAACGTGTATCAAATGAATGAACTCGACAGTTTATTTTCTTATTCAGATGCCAAGGTTGCATCTGTACTGACTCACGGACCAGTCAGCATGTCAACGCTCTGTTATCATGAAATTCATAAAAGTATTCTGACATTGTTTCAGATTATTCCTACATAAATGAAAAACATTATCCAACATTTTCTCGAATGATTATTCGCGGTCAGCAAATGTTTTCGTCAACGAACGTAATAATGTGATAACCTCAGTAAACGTTTTACTATTCTACACAATCTTATATGGTTTAACTGTATGAATTTGTCGTACATGTACATTAAATACTTATATTGTTATTTTCTTTTATTATTTAGAATGTGGAGAATTATACCGTGAACAGATATGAATCGTAGTTTAAACTGATAGTATCTCATTCCTCTCCTACTGTCCCAACGACAAATACAAGTTCTTATGTCTAAACAGAATTATATTAAACATTCAAAATCCATAGAAGATTTCAATTATTCCAAATCTGTACATGTGGATGTACAGTTATTAATAGTTTTTCATTATTTCTTTCTCTTACCGAAAATAAATGTTAACATCTGAAATTACACACATGAAAGTGTACTAAAAATCATATCAAAAGTTTTCAAAGCAAAACGGTTGTCATTATACTATTATATTAAAAACTTCATACAGAAATTTTAATGTAACAACATTTTATAATGTAAACTTTAAATTTATTGCATCTATTATTAAAGTTTATAACATGAAAAAATCGTAAATAAATACTAAGGTTTCATTGGACTATAAATTAATCAGAAAGTTCATTAAACGTAGAGAAATTTTTAAATCCATCTGTACTTGGTGTTTAACGATATTACTTCCCCAATGTTTATATTCACGAGATTGTAAATGTTTAATATTTAATTTCCTAAACGAGTAATTATTTGATACATTAATATATAAAAAATATTAAATAAATACAAGACAATACTATAGAAAGAAACAAAAAGTACATAATGGGACTTATTGTACCACAAAAATTTTATGTTTGTACTCGAGAAAATGTAAGTAAAATTACCTTTACCATATAATCTAAAGATAGTTAGCATTAATGACCAGAATATTATTGATTTTCAATGCCTAGACTGCTCTCCAATTCTGACCACGTTAAATCGTGGAGTTATCAATTATTTAACAATAACCAAATTCGACGAAGAAATGAAGAAGAAAATAAATTGTGTTTACAAATTTTCAGGTTTTGTTGCTTTCTGTGAATGCGTTTAATCAGTTTAACTTGTTTCGATCATTCTGAAACGTTCTTGTGTTTGCAGACACAATGAAGAGCTAATACCTTATCACCTGATTAATCAAATATAGCAGATTACTACCAGATTTACCAATATAACTATGTTATCATTCATGTGGCAGATAGTACTGTTATGACGGAACGTTATAAATCAAATACGAACTATTTTTTATCGCGTAAATATTTTTAACACACCAAATTCACAATGAAAGGAAAATGAACTCAGTTCAAACAAAATTTACTTTTAGAATTATTATTTAGTATCTTCATCTTCTGTTGATAATATCTATGTATAGACATTCAGTTTCTATAAACATTAACTAATACATTATAGGCTTCCGATCTCAATTCAGTAAAGTCATTAGATCAAAATTGGAATTTCCTCTTTCATTCGTTATTAAAAAACGATTCGTTTATAACTTCTATTTCATGACATTATGCTATTGATCAGATAAGTCCTATTCAATTATTTGACTACACGCTCTACGCAAGCAATTGTCAGCTGTTATATTAAGTATTTGAGTATTAATTTTCATAGTGCTTTTATTTTATATATTATAATTTTTTTATGGAATTAATTAAAATTTCGCGAGATTTCCATTGTATTGAGTTAAGTCGTAAATATCTTCCATCATTGATGTCGACACAATAGTTAAGAATAATTAAATAACAATAATAATGAAAATGGTCAAATTAAATAATGATTATTGGCTCAATAGAAATGAAGAATGTGTAATTGATTAAATACATTCGTGTTCCAACGTATCGCAAACTGTTCAACCACCGTAGTGTCTCTTTCTGTCATAAGAGATTAAATTTCATTAACGTCCACTTGACAGCTCTTATTTCATTCCTACATTTATCGCCACTTGTCGTTAGTACCTTATCCTCGGCGTAGGTTTTGCATACATTATGCTGAACCTGTGAATACTGCAGATTCCAATTCACACAGCATGCGTGCAATAAATTTTGAAACACCAGTGTATTATATGCACCATTATCTTGATGCAAAGTGAATTTTAAAAAGAAGAATGGAAGTTACTTACTTGCGACTCAACCGAATTTTCCAAGTAAGTCGAATGTCATTTAGAGAAGAAATTTTTATTCCTCATCACACTTATAGTTTGAGTATAGTAATTTGAATACCGTTGTATACACTATTCGACAACAATTAAGAAACAAAAATTTGTGTATTAATTTTTGGTGTGTATTAAACATATATCATATCTCTTTCTTTATTAACATTTTTCAATAGTATTATGAGTGAGTACTATGAGCTGAATATACTGTGGGGAATTACGATTTGGTTATAGAACATTCAGTTGCTTAACTCAGGTGGGGTTTTCGTAACCCTATGAATATTTTTAATGTCCAATTAATTTACAAATTTCGATAATAAAAAACATAATTAACGATAAAACATTTGTTTCGAATGGTCGATAAACGTTTGTTCGAATGGTTAACGAATGTCGATTCAGTGTTTTCATAGAATAAACAGTACCTATATTATATTCTATCCATTTAATTCAAATTTTTGTCATACACATATGATAAAAGAAAATATATTCCACAACCAGAAATACCAAACTATAGTTACACAGGAAAATGTTTCACACGATATTTACTGAGATATCCATTCTTCATTTGATACCATTTGTCGGCCAGTGATCCTATGTAATAATTTTAAACGAATGTTTCTTTCTGTCCTTGTTCGTAATGCCCTTCCTGGCGGGGATGCAAAAGGTGCCAACGCACCTGAGCAGCCAAATTCACGGGCAGTCGCAGACCATTTATTGTATGCAATCCATGCCATCTATTAGTATGCAAGAGTGCAGGTTATTGATAGTCGATATTATCAACTATAATATCATTATTACAAACACTATACATTAGTTTTGTAGTTATATGTAGAATAAAATATTCATCTGAATTAAAACCATTTCTTTTTTAAGGATCTTCGTTTCATTTTATGAATATAGAATTTTGAAAATATTCTTTTCGCATAATAACTATTAAAAAAACTATGTATATAGATTAAAACTACTTATAAATACTTTTGATGCTTATTAGATAAAAACTAATTAAACATACTTTTATATAAATATAAAAGTAAACACAGCAGTAATTAAATAATATTGAATTAATACGGGCGGCGACAAACCCAGGAACGGTCCTGCTTATTTGGTTTACTATCTCGCCGTGTCATTATTATCGAGTTAAATTGCTTAATGTTACATTGAAATGCCGGAAATTGATGGAACGTCTGTGCTCCTCATATACTTAACTTTAGAGTGGGTGATCAAACTTATTAGAGTCATCTGCACAAAATAACGATTTTATGTACTATTTAAACTATATTCTTTGCAATTAAACCAATTGAGTTTAATTTTTTCTGTGTATTTCTAGTGGACAATTTTTTAATTAAAAATTATCCAGTGTGAAAAATTTAATATTGTCATATTCTTTCTACATAAATAAAAAAAATATATTTTTCGTAACTATGGCTCTAATAATTTCAAACGTTCGACAGAATACAGCCCGCCAACAAAAATGATTATTATCTGATCAGGAGACAATATTGAGAAAAAATATCGACCGTATGCAGTAAATACGAAACAAACGATCGTTTTGTTGTGGAAAACTTTGATATTTGCGAAAGTTTATTCTGAAGTCGACAATGTAATGCTCATAAAGGTAATCGTTTTTATAACGATCTTAAGATAAAATACAGGGTCAGCACACAAAGCGTGAGAACTGTATATTTTATGTTTTACTGTAAATTGATATTGGCCCAATACGTTTTGCAATT